TTTGCCCAGCAAGAACTTGCTGGTTGGCTGCAAGTTCCTTTAGTAGCGCGGCAAGATCTGGTGTAGCAGCAATGATGGTACCCGGAGCGGCAGACTGAGTTGTATCCGGAATGCTGGTAGCACTAATGGTAGTAGCCTTCCGTCCAGGGAGTCCTAAGAACTTATGACGGCACACAGCCTCTACATGGCCATTGAGGCCGCAGTGTTGGCAGATGTCCCGCTCATGGTGGCCATCAGCCTTGCGATATTCCTTAGATCCACATCCATAGCATTGGCCTATCATGAAGCAATGAAAGGCATCAGGAGATCGAGTGGTGGTGGCATCAATGTCCATAGCATTTGGGTCTTGAGTAGGCGCAGTGAATGGGGTTGCAACAGTGGAGGGTCTAAAGTTGGTCAGGATTCCATTGTCGACCAGTTTCTTTCCTTGTTCCCATGCTCAAGTAATTTGTCGGTTGTCTACGTCGATGGCTGCTTCAATCAGTTCCTAAAGGGAGCCAGTAAGGCGGGTTGTGAACCCAAGACCATCTTTTACACAATGTGCAAGGTGATCGTAAAACCGATCTTGCAAGTCTTTGTTTGAGTAGCCAGTGCGGTCCGCGTACTGTTGGAAGGTAGAGGCATAGGTTCCCACTGTGGTCCTATTCTGGTAGAGCCATTTAAGGAGCTGCTTGGCATCAGCCACGGCATCTGTGGTTTCAAAATGTGTTTTGAAAGCTGTAACAAATTCTTCCCATGTATCGTATGTGAAGGTTACTCCTGAGCCAGTTATACTTGATCTGTTAATTGTCTCGGAAATAGGAGTGGCCCAGATAGCTGCATCCCCCTCAAGGTATGTAATGGCAGATGTGATTTTCTTTCTACGATCTGTGGAGAGAGCAGGGATAGAGTTGGCCCACAGCTCAAAGGCAGCTAGGAAGCATCGGGCATCTTCTTCTCGCTTTCTATTGTAGTTCTGTGGCTTACCAACACTTTTGGTAGTGCTGAGGCCGCTTACTAGCTCAGAGACCACATCTTGAAGTTTAGACTGGTTTTTTGCAAGCTTTGTAAGAGCATCTCGAACGTCCTGTGCTGAGGATATGTCTTCTTCAGGGATTGATTGTATTTTGATATCAGGGTCGGCTGTGGTCTCAGTGACAGCAGGAGCTAATGGTTCCACAGGTGCTAGTGGGGGTGCAGGAGTGGAAGTAGTAGGAGTACTGATTCATCCTACCCTGGCAGGTGGTGCTGGTCTGTGGATGGGTTGGTAACGGTCAGTTGGACTTGCGTCAAATGTGTTTTTGTATCGATTAGGGCACGGTTGTCTGGAGCAGGGTTCCCACTCTTCTTCTTCAGCGTCCCAGTACCAAGTGGTGTTAGTTACAGAATCAAGTGCGTGGAAGTGGTTGGAGCAATCAACGTTGACTCCAAAGGTAGACATGGTGGATGCCTTGTAAGATCAGCTCACCAAGCTGATGGCACAAGTAGAAGATCTCGACCTAATGTCGCGACGAGGCAGGAAGCGGGAGGCGGGAAGTCCGAATATGCCAAGGAGCAATGGTGGCAGAGCGAAGAGGTACAGATACAAGCACAAAGCACAGATGAAAGAAATGATGATCCCGAACAACAGTGGGATAGCAGCAGAGGCCAATCACACCAGTAATCAAAAGGGAATCTAGTTGCCCAATGACCAAGTTAGATAGGTAGTATCTAAAAGGATACAAGTACTTGCCTAGTTGCCCAATGACCAAGAGGTCGAGATGGGGAACTAGGATCTGTTTACTGTCCTTTATATACTACTCTTGTCTAATGAGTAAGCGATTGTAAATAACAATGCGATATAGAACAAGAGTGAGGAATCAATATATACGAGTAATAATGAGCCGATAGTGAATCATAATGAACTAATCAATGAATAAGGATGATTTGTATGGAAGTGTATGGAAACAAATGGAACTAGTGGGATGATTGTGTAATAAAGTACAATAAACATGTGAAAAGAGATTGATGGGAACACACCGCTGATGGCGCATCAAAGGGTGCATCATGAGACTTCATGACAAGCATACTGTAGTGATAGAACACTTTCTACATACATCTACATACATTACACAGGTGCGGCAGAATTTCATCTTTTGATGATATCTGTTAAGATCATGTACACTGTGTAACCGTGCCAAGGCCACAAGGTGTCTAAGTGCGGAAGACGAGTGGGACAGTAGTGAAGTTATTAACAACACCGCCGTTACGCCGTTAGTCCCCGGAGATCGAGAGTATAGAGAGAGGAGCTAAGTAGCAGCCAAGTCGGAGCGGCGGTATCGCCGATGACGAGGAGCGGGCCAGAGGACGTTCAAGTCCTAAGGTCAAGTAGGACATACTTCGAGGCGTTGAGCCTGAAGACTTAGAGAAGAGCTAGGTTGAGAAGGGAGATCTAAGTTGATCTAAGTTGATAATTAAACTGAGGAACTATAGTAGCGTACAGGCAGTATTTATATCTACGGAACGGCACAGCAGTGCGGAACGCCAGACTAACTACTAGGAGCTATACGAGTAGTACCTGCAGGGTAGAGTAAAAGACAATAAGGAGAGACTAGAACGAAAGAGTATGTGTAGCGAGAAAGAACAATAAGAAGAGATTACAATAACGAGTGGATCTTCGGAGTACCGAGCGGCGGAATGGAGGCCCGAGGCATGGGCTTGACAATATCTGGAATTTTGATTCACAGACTTTCGGTTGAATAGATCAAAGCCATCCTTGCACAAACTTATCTAAAGATGATACTCAGAAAGATACTCATTTGATAGACTGCCAATGAATTCCTTCTATGCAACTCAGATAGATTGTATGCAGTATATAGAAGTAACATAGACTGCAGATTCACGTCATTTCCTATAAATCCCAAAAATTCCGAAGCTTCCCGGCTTTCTGGTGTATACAATATAGCACAAAAAGATGGAACGATTGCATTGAAAGGTTATCAGACTACAAATGAACAAAACATATCTATATGGGTCTATATGTGGGCATCAGAATGCCAGATAATCATTCTTCTCAATGGCTCCTCGCTTGCGTTTGCTGACCTTGTTTGCTAGAGTCTGTAATGGCTCCCGAAAGTTGCTTTGTAGCAATGAGGTCGAGTTTTCCGGCGAGGGTGGTTCACCATTGCGTGAAGGTGAATGGCTCTCCAATCAATCAATGGAAAGGGGAAGGGGTGGTAAAGCTCATGACGAGTTTCTGAATCGTTTCCAATCTTCTTCTATAGTTTCGACAAGGTATCTGTCAAAGCACGATTAATAAAATGGCAAGACACAATTCAAAGCACTCACGCCATCCACTTATCTGTCCGGAGGTCATTACTTTTGAATTCACATTTGAGTCCGTCAAGGAATGCATCCACGCGGCCCCAAAATGAAGCCTCCTTTGCTTGTTTATCTGCGAGGTTTTTCTGCTTCTTGAGAATTGGACCATCCTCCTCACAACACCGTTCATGTAAAAATCGACACTGAAAAACTTATGATTAGCAAGAACATGAGTATGAGCTTGGGAACTCACCAGGATAGCAAATCGGAACTTGTACAGATGCCCATTACTCGATCCCAAGCCTCCTTGGACATATTTTTGAACCAAGGTGATGGTTGCCTGCTCCAGCGTTGAGAGCCCCCTTTTTCCAGTTTCGTCAACAATGGTTCCAAAGATTTAAGCATGTGTTAGCAAATACAACAACATATTGACATCACAAAAACTTGCATCATCTCGGAATTGTTGGAGCATTTTTCCTGTAAGAGACTCCACTTCTTTTTTTAATGCAGTGGCCGATCCTGTTTTTGCCAATATGTCTGTAAATTCATGCTGCCCTGCTTCAGTCTTGCAATGTTCCTAACATAAGGAGAGTTGAAACTGATGGCTCATAGAAACATCGTTGACCTACCCATACTGCAGGAATGATGTCGCTGTAACTCAGGCATGTAGGCTTTGCACATTCATCCCATGCAATGGATCGAATGATTGCCTGTAGGTGGGTATCAGTGGATACAATGTTAATGAATTGCTGTTGAACAACAAATACCTTGACATGTCTGGGAACCTCATACCCTTTGTTGATTTGCTTCAGAGCTCCGTTGACAACTTCTTTGACTGAAGTTGAATCTGTATGCTGCGCTTCGAACTTGTTTTCGATATGGCAGGTTGCTGCATATTGCAGACAGTTTATCTTGAGTTGTCCCGTCTCTACCCAGCCAGCAATCTAGACAACAATCAGCACTGTAAGGGCATTCAACAAAAATTCATACTGCAACCATTCCTTTGAGCTCTCGAACTTGCATTGGGGTTAGAGAATAGTGAGATTGGATGCCATCCACCCAGCTCATGAGATCTGTGGTCTCTCCTTCTGAACGTTTTTGGGGGGTCAGACTTATGTTGGAATTATTCTCATCAGGGCCTATTGCAGTGGAGTAGCTCATATTGTCCTCATTAAGCTCATCACATTCATCCTCCCATGTTCCTGTGAATTTTTTTGAGCACCATAAAGAGGGTAAAAAAGCGCAGCTACCATGTTCTACCCCAGGAGTCTGCATTTCTGATGTGCCATGATAATCAAGGCTTGAGTCAGAATAAGTCTGAAGACGTGAACCAGGGTTTGAGATGGGAGGCTGAGGCAACACATATGGCAAAGCAGTGTTGAATCGTACTGTACCAGTATTTGGTGTATTTGGTAGAGCATTGATGGGAAGCTGAGGGGGTTGAAAAGGAGAGTCACTGAAAGTGAACACAGGCCGCGACATGGCGGACAAAAAGAAAGGAGTCAACAAAGAAAATGGAACAAGTTTCAAAAAACACATGGCCTCAACTGCACAGCATATATACTCTTGCGAAAGCCCAAAGTACATATTGGAATCTTTGTGATGTCCTCTGCAGTTATAACCCATCCCGAAAGCTCCTCCTCGATGCCGGTTCAGCAGCTCAGAGATGAGAACAACTCTATCCTGTCTCTAGAGCAGATCAAGACGGTGTCATCCTTGAGATGCCTTCCTCCATTATTTATCCTGGATTAAATGAGGCACTCACGAACTCTGGCATGTAAGGAAAACTTACGGCTATAAAGTTGATTGGCTAACTTTTTTTGATTATGTAGCGGCACTGAAAATGCAGATATAGGTTCAGGAGGATACTTGGGTGTTGTTGCTGACACCTGTGGTTTCGATGTTGAGGACTTCAACATGGATGGTGACAATATCTCCTACAACTCTGGGCTCAAGGCGCCTGAGAGCCTAATCAGTAATATCAAACTCAGATCATCTGTTCCTTCTGGTAATTGAGCTTGATATAATCTGCCCAGCGTATCTGATTTTCTTGTTTAGACCTGGAAGATGCACTGATTGAGCTTCATAACCTCTGTACCCATTGTCCTGCTCAACAACGCATCAACAAATCCCAGCAGAAGTGACTTTGCAAACTCGACAACTTTGTCCGTGCCATCTCGTCAAAAGAGGTTTATGACATTCACAAAGCACGGAAGATGGTCCAGTACAATGTTGCATTTCATCATGCCCAGAAAGATCTGTGGAGAAGTCAGACACAGCTAATGCTCCAAGAGGATGAGATTGCTGAAAACAGGAAATTTCATTCGGACTCGCTTTACCGCAACAAGAGGCAAGTATATGTCATAAAGGAGTTGGTCTTGCGTCTTTATAAATCACAAATGGAGGCAGAGGTCGAGCATAGGGAGCAGCATCTGAAGCAGTTGAAGACCATCGAGGATTTGGAACGACGTCTCAGCACCTCTGAGAACAACAAATATCTGTCAAATATTGAGGAGTTGAAGGTTCAGCTGGGCCGCAAAAAGCTTCTTTGTGGGAATGTAGCCAGAATTCTACTCAATGAGCACAATCCTGCAGTTGCTGTGGCAGAGTCTCTCCGACTCCTGACCCCTTCATCTGAAATTTTCTCAAAGTCCACTGCCGAGGGCCTTTCCATCAAGGCTGAACAGCAACCAAATTTGTTCCACACTGCAGTAGCCAAACAGTTGCTCGAACTTGAGGACGAGGCATGGAGAGGTTAAGCTTTCATATATTATTCTACAATGTTGTTTGTATCTAGAAACTTGGTTTACAATGCATTCAATTTTAGCTCTTCCTGTCATGCCCTGACCGCAACCAGACCAACCCCAGCACCAGCCCACACGCTTCCTTACACCTTCCCAAGACATCCCCGAGGTAGTATGCACCTCCCCAAGACAGTACCACTGGTAATATGCACCTCCCCAAGACAGTCCTGACAACCATCCCGACACGCGTACGAAACTCCTAACACCAGCCCCATTAAGTACCAATCTCGATCACCTGTCTCTCGATTACCTGCCTCATGTCCTCTAGACTCTGATGTTCCCTTGTTCACTTCCCATACCTATTTAAGTAGCTCCGTAACGTCCCCAAGCCCCAGCTTGGTATATTTTGAACACACACCCTTTTGCATAGGTCCAGTCCCTGTCCCTTTGTACCTGCTAACCATACGGATTTCTCTTTACACTCTGTTTTTCTACCTCTGTTTCTCTTTACTCTCGTCTACTGTCTCTCTGATCGTCTATACGATCAAATATACACTTTTACTTCAAGTCTAAGCCATCTGAGTGAGTCTCCAAGCTCCCTCGAACATTACTAAAGCTCCCCAACACCTAAACACTTTGGTGAGCTACCCTTCCCCAAACCTCCCAGAGTTCCCTAGCTACTTCGTAAGCTTCGGGACCTTGATCTAAGTAACGTCGAGGCTACCCCTCACGTCAAACCACGTATCGCTTCTCCATTACCACCTCCAACACTCGAGGACGTCCATCCTCAAGCCCAGTCCCCAGGAACCTACCTTCCCGGGCGTATACCTCCTCGGGAGCTTACCACCTCGAGACCCATTTCCATCTACGGCCTATTCGAACCCTATATTGACGTTCTAGCGAGTACAACTCCTACCACGCGATATTACAAGGTTCCATACTTCTACCTAACCTCCCTGGACCTCCTAGGAACCCCCTCAAGGGTCACCATCTCTTCGTCCCAGCCACTACTAGGTCATTCCCATCCTCGGTCGCGGTTTCCGTAGCTCCCTTCGAGCTCCAGCCTGCTCCTAGCACGCTACAACATAAACTCTTCATACCAAAACCTACCTTAAGACCTATTCTGACCCAGGTCTTACATTATACCAAGCTCTCCCGTCACGGAACAGACTCGTCGCGACGAAATGTCTGCAACGTCAATGGAACGACCTTCTAGTTCCAAACTTGAATTGAAAAACCACAAGGGTGCATTGTCTCATGGAAACACAACACAAGCTCAAAAGTCAAACCAGGCTGCTAGCTCCACTGTCATCACGGTGGCAGCTGGTCAATGCCTGATGTCCATCCCAGAACAGTCGTTTGGGGAGGAAACCGCTAGCAACGTAAGGACACCCGAGGGACGTCAATCTGCGGTTCAGGAGCCTCCTCCAGTGGACCCTGGGATGGGACTTCCACAGCGGAGGTATACCTCCATGGGTTATGCCCAACCTGTCAGTAGTCCCATGGGGGGTTTTGCCTATTCTCCTACCTGGGGAACGAGAGGACCTCCCCCTGGACCGGTACCACAGCTAGACATGGAGTCAGCTTCAAACGCAGGTGGAAGAGTCAGCAGCCAAGTAGCCGCTACCAAAAGGATACAAGGGGAGAATACAGATCCTCTTACCGTATGACAACAGGAGAAACTTCCAGAGAGGAGGGTATCACCTGCCATATCCGAACAGTCTCGGACGTCATCCCCGAGGTTACCAACTCCTCCAGTACAGTCCCTTAACCTTCCTCCCCTGAGATGAGGAAGTTCGCTCTCCAGTCTCTTGAAGAGTCCAGCTATGAATACGCCCAACTGGGAGCATACACACGCGATACATCATAGCAGGACCAACTTCCCAGTGCAACCGTTGTTGGAAATGACGTTGCGTCTGGAAGACATCATTCAAATCCAGGAGTGTATCCCGGAGGACGTAGCTATGGTCTTAAGGGAGGTATTAGAGTCGATGGGGATCGAAATATTAAGAGATGGTCTCGAATTCTCAGACCTACGGGTACAGTTCCTAACAGTAGGAACTCAACTAGAAATAGACCTCCCAGAGAAGGCTCAACAGTGGCTGATGACCCCGGCGAACCGATCAGACTTTCTCTGGTTATACAACATCCTATTGGACCCAGAGAGGATGTTAGAATTGTTAGAGGCAGAGGCACGTTACGGGCGATCGTTCCAAAACTCGAGGGGAATACTTCCCCTCCTCCCTCATACCCATGGAAGGGAGAAGGAATTCTGCGACGAAGCAGGGCTAATCGATGAAGAAAGCAATAAGGATGTCAACGCCATTGCTGCAAAAAATTGTAGACGCAGGAGATACACCATGGCTCACCTCCTTACCCCAGTGGAATCAATGCCCAATCAGGATAGTCCTGTCCGGGTCCATAGCGGACAGTACACGTACATGCCCATGAGGCATATGCACCAACTTCTGGTGAGGAGTGAGGAGTCTGAAGTGATGTTGTGTTCGCAGGAGACCCGACATCGGATGTTACTAGCGGAATCAGACACTCTGATGCTGTCGGAGGAACTTTCTGGATCAAATCTAGAAAGGGCCTTGGAATTCCATCACAGACTGGTCGCGGATAATCGGGGAACCTCGTATATGGTTCAATGCAAACTAGAGAGTGCAGGGGAGTTCCCTACGGAGCAATTTGACCAGAAAAAGCAGCTCCATGGATCTGATGGTCGCTTCCTGGCACAGAAACATTCATTGACCAGAAATAACGGGGTTCCTGAATTCCTTAACCCCGGTAATACAGCCACGAGGAGCCCCCAGTTACGCTCGGGGACCTCCCCCACTGTACATGCCTTGTGACAAGACCATGCCTACAGGTCAATAGCTATAGAGGTTCTGAGGCCGGATCCGGCCCGGGAATGGCCCGGGATAATTCCGAGGTCCGGAACTGAGTATTGGCCTGTAGTACACACTGGGAGTGGGACATCGGTGAAGCTATTAGCAACACCCTTCACACACTGTTGGTGTCCCCGGGAATTATGGCAAGAGTGCAAGATTGGGATGAGCAGCCTAAATGGGGTTCCTGATGATCCGGGAGTCCGGAAGCAAAGGGTAAAGAAGATATTAAAGACTGGGATAAGATGGTACACTTGATTTCAAGCTTGACTACAATGTACAAAGTATTCTAGCTTATATACATCCCAAATACAGTCAGAAGACCTCGATGAAAGCTCGGAACAATAAATAAATACAATGATGGTCACAAGGTTATTATTTCAAAGTCCGGCCGCTCCGGGCCGGGCCGGGAAGCATATGGGGTGAATTGCATGCATATGACACCTTGGTTCAAAATTCGACTCCTCCCCCCAGAGTTAAGCTGCAAATGAAACCGGTAACTCCAGTCTCAACACAGCGATACCAGTTTAGCAAGGTAAGGATGGATGGCACTGTAAGACCTGGGTCAGAATAGGTCTTAGGGTAGGTTTTGGTATAAGGAGTTTATGTTGTAGCGTGCTAGGAGCAAGCTGGAGCTCGAAGGGAGCTATGGAAACCGCGACCGAGGATGGGAATGACCTAGTAGTGGCTGGGATTGAGAGATGTGACCCTTGAAGGGGTTCCTGTAAGGTCCAGGGAGGTCCCTAAGGTGTAGGTAGGGGAGGTAGAGGTACGGAACCTGTCAAGTCCATGCCTCGGGCCTCCATTCTGCCGCTCGGTACTCCGAAGATCCACCTTTATTGTAATCTCGTTCTTATTGTTCTTTCTCGCTACACATACCCTTTCATTCTAGTCTCTCCTTATTGTTTTTTACCCTACCCTGCAGGTACTACTCGTATAGCTCCTAGTAGTTAGTCTAGCGCTCCGCACCGATGCGCCAATCCGTAGATATAAATACTGCCTGTACGCTACTGTAGTTCCTCAGTTTAATTATTGACTTAGATTCCCTCTTTGATCTAATTCTCCTCTAAGTCTTCAGGCTCATCACCTTGAAGTACTCTCCTATAACCTTAGGACTTAGACGTTCTTTGGTTCGCTCCTCGTCACCGGCAATACCGCCGCTCCGACTTGGCTGCTACTAGCTCCTTCCTTCTATACTCTCGATCTCCGGGGACTAACAGTGTAACAGCAGTGTTGTTAATAACTTCACTACTGTCCCACTCGACCTCCCGCTCTTAGACACCTTGTGGCCTCTGGCACAGTTACATGGTGTACATGATCTTGACAGAACCTAGTAGTGTTGCATAGAAGGAGTTGTACTTGCTAGAACGTCAACGTAAGATCGAATAGGTCGTATAGAGAATGGGTCTTGAGTGTATAAGCTCCTGAGAAGGTATACGCCCGGGAGGGTGTCACGAAGCGGCAGAGGCGGAGTGACTAACGGAGCGGGAAAGCGGAGCGACTAAGCAGAACGGTGAGGTGGAGCAACTGGATAAGGCAACAAGGCGGAGCGACTAAGCAGAACGGTGGCAGGCTGGTCCCAGATAATGACAGAGATATATTGAGTATCGTAGTCATAGGTAATAATAAGTAAGCACATACCTGGTCCCAGATAATGACAGAGAGGTCAAGATAAGGGACCAGGCTGTGGAGGGTTGGCTATATATACATAATCCGGTCTGCGAGAAATAACGATGTAATACTGTACAGTTTAGGAACAAGAAAGGTGGCGGAAGCCAATAGAAGGAGAAGATGGGTCAGGTGGATCAGTAATCGATGAATCAGTAATCGATGGGGGTTTGACAGTGATGGGATGATGTATCGTACAAGTAAAGGCGTCGAGACGGTGAGAAAAGGAAAATGATAGGGGCTGCGTACTTTATGACAGAGGGGAGGTCCCGGGAACTGGGGCTTAGAGGTGGACGTCCTCGAGTGTTGGAGGTGGTAACAGAGAAGAGGCACGTAGTTTGATGTAGGGGGTAGCTTCGACGTTACCTAGATTGAGGTCCTAGAACTTGTGGGACAAGTGGGGAGCTCAAGGAGGTTTTGGGGAGGTTAGCTCACCAAGGTGTTAGGCGTTGGGGAGCTTTAGTATTGTTCGAGGGAGCTCGGGGACTCACTCGGATTGCTTAGACGTGAAGTAAAAGCATATATTCAACCGTAGAGACAATCGTTGAGACAGTAGGCAAGAGTAGAGAGAAACAGAGGTAAAGAAACAAAGAGTAAAGAGAATTCTGTATAGGTAGCAGGTACAAAGGGACAGGGACTGGACCTATGTAAAGGGTGTGTGTTCAAAATATACCAAGCTGGGGCTTCAGGACATTGCGGCACTACTTAAATAGGTATGGGAAGTGAACAAGAGAACATCTGGAGACATGAGGCAGCTAATCGAGGGAGGGAGGTAATCGAGATTAATACTTAAAGGGGTTGTCGGTTAGGAAGGTTTTCGTATGCATGTCGGGGTGAAGGATGTTTGGGTAGTTGTGTCAGAAATACTAGGGGAGGTGCCTGGTGGTACTTGGGGAGGTGCAGAGGAGGTACAGGAGGTAGATAGGATGTATGACAACGTGTGGTGGGTACTGGGACTGGTCTGGTTGTAGCCAGGGCATGACATTACCCCCCCTTGTAACCCCTTCGTGCCCTCGCGATGGGTAGGTGCGTTTTTCTGGGCAGTCACCTGACATTCACGTGGTTCCTGAAAATTTTCTTGTTGAAGTCCGTCAGAACCTTGCTTCTCCCTCTCTTCCACCACCTCAGTTTTAGGAGTCCAAACTCATCTAACTGCGATGTCTCCTACACCTACTTGACCTCTTTCACGTACACCATCTCCTCTGTTACCCACCCTTACCGCTTTGGGAGAGGTACCTTCCCTGGCTCCTGAATCCGATGGGGAGGTGGAAATGGATCAACTGGCCTTCACCATCGAGTCGCCGTCTCGTCCCCAACTCCAGTTACTCGAGACAGTGTTTAATACTGGCAAGCCACTATCGGGTTATTGTCAGGACGATCCTTTGTGGCCTCTTCTTGCGGAGGTAGCTTCCCCTTGTTCCAACTGTGTAAAGTCCCCGAGCAAATGTAAGGTTCTGCTGAACTCCCCTCGCTGTACCAACTGCTCTGCGAAAAAGACTTGTAGTCTGGGGAAGGTCCTTCAGTATCGGTACTTCGCTTGTCATTGCAGTTAAGACATTGCATACAGCCGCAGGTTTTTGGAGCTCCACGGAACTCCCACACATCAATCGACATGGGGTATTCCTTTGAGTACCTGGCGTCAATACGATGCTGCCCTCCAAGCTCGTACCTCCTCAACCTCCACCCTCCTAGAACTGAACATGCTTGACGAGAAGGATACTGCCGAGACTGACCAGCAAGAGTTACAGAAGTTCCTTGCTTTGCAACAGGGTGAGGCAGTCGTCGCGGCGAAACGTAAGCGCGATTGTTCCCCTTTGCCTGTGGCTGGTCCTTCCAGCAAAAAGGTTCAGTTGGATGGTTCGAAAAAGTGTTCTTGTCGTAGGACCCCTGTAGAGGGGGCAGTTCAGGAGTCTCCCCGTCGCGTTCGACTCATGGTTCCTCCAGGTCATTCGATGGCAGCCTCCACTTCCACTCCTGCTCTCCCTCGCGCCCTTCCCTCCTCCATGGAGGTATCTGTCAGGGACAAACCCGTGCAGGGTCCCAGTGGTTTGGTTCAGTTGGCAGCTGCTGCCGAGGCCCAGTTCGATGTGGTTCAGCGGCTTGTTTCCCCTCCCCCTGTTACGCCGCCTATAAAGGGTACTGGGTCCGACCCCCTTCCTTCCAACATGCCACCCACTTCGCGTTCGTCATTAGTACCCCGCACCCTCATCGCTCATCCCTATCGCACTGAGAATCAGCGTCTTCTTGCTCGGGTTCGATCACTAGAGTCCCAGCTTGCCGATTCTCAGCGGGAGAATTCCTCTCTAACCACTGCCCTTCGGGATACCTCCCACGCCCTCGATGCTCGTCAACGGGAGGTCGAACAACTTCGGTCCTCCAGCCACGAGGTCCTTCAGCACGAAGTCGAGTATCACAGTGTGTTGGACCAGTTCCATGCACTGGACAGGGCTTTATCGGTGTTTTCTGGTCAGGTAAGCCGTGATTTAACTGGTATTCACTTCCCTCTTTAATTTGAGTTCCCCCCTTGTAGACTGTTGTTCAGCGTCTCCAAGCATTGGAGGAGGAGCTTTGCGTTGTAAAAAGGGATCGCGACGTTGCAGTGGAGGAGCTTTCTACTGCTTCCCGTAAGGCTTCTGAGTTGAAGACAGCCCTACTGCAGCAACAGGGTCTGGTAGACGAAACCAATGCTTTGGCGACCCGTCAGCGTCATTGCTTGGAGGAGTTCCGGGAGGAGGTCCATCGTACTTGAGATCGTGCCGCCTTCGTGGAGCAGATGATCAAGGAGTATCCAGACGAGGGTTTCTACGAGGTGGTTTTACCTCCCCTTTCTCAACTGGAGGAGGACCTCAAGAGGGCCAATGAGGACCTTCGCCGCGTCGCCACCTTTGCACACCGCCTTTATCATTCCGATCCCGCCACTGTCCTCCATCATCACAGTCGTTACATCGGTGCCATCATTGAGGCGGTTGTCGCCTTTCTCCGACGTGGTCTGGACTCTGATGACCCCTACGTCATTGCCCACAACTTCCGACTTGCTCTGGATTACATGCAAACAGCCCGGGGTATTCACGGGGATCTTTATATGCGGTCCATTAGCAGCATTCAATGGTTTTTCAACAACGCGGTGGATGAGGACGAGGGTCTCCATTGCCTGGTGTTAGAGCACTCCCGGTTTGATAACGATGGTCCTTTTCTGACCGCGGCTCAGCATGCCGGTTTCGCAGCCCCTCCTGAGGGTTCAATGGAGCCACCCCTCCATCGTCGGATGTTGGCACTATCGACCGCCTTTCCTCATCGTGATGGTTCTGGAAGGTGGGACGATGTTGTCCCCGCCATCCCTAGTCTTGACCAGTCGATGGTTGTATGGGAGCAGTTAATGCTGGAGTACTTTCACCACATAACTGATACCCCAATGTCTGTTCCAGTGCCATCGAACGAACCTCCCTCTGCTGTAGGTGAAGGTATTTCTTCTCCCCCCGCTCCCTCTCATGTTCCTCTGTTCCTCCCCGAACAGGACTCTCCGACCTCCCCTTCTCCCCCTCCTCCTTCTCCCAGTCTTCCTCCCCTCTTTGGTTCAGTAGCAGATCTAGCCATTGATCTTACTGGGGGTCACGACAAATTGTACGAGCTGGAGGAATCGTGTCGTGCTCGGGTCTCTGAGGCGGATGGGATGGATGCTGTCCCAAAGGAGCAACCGTTGTAGTACTTCATTGTCATTTCTTGTAATAGATCCTTGTCGCTAAATCGTAGAAAATTGAAACGTCTTTTTTGTCTTTTTAAAGTGAGATCATAGTGAGTGTTAAGATCATGTACACCGTGTAACCGTGCCAAGGCCACAGGGTGTCTAAGTGCGGAAGACGAATGGGACAGTAGTGAAGTTATTAACAACACCGCCGTTACGCCGTTAGTCCCCGGAGAGCGAGAGTAGAGAGAGAGGAGCTAAGTAGCAGCCAGGTCGGAGCGGCGGTATCGCCGATGACGAGGAGCGAACCAGAGAACGTCAAAGTCCTAAGGTCGAGGAGAACGTACTTCGAGGCGTTGAGCCTGAAGACTTAGAGAAGAGTTAAGTTGAGAAGGGAGATCTAAGTTGATCTAAGTTGATAATTAAACTGAGGAACTACAGTAGCGTACAGGCAGTATTTATATCTACGGAACGGCGCATCGGTGCGGAGCGCCAGACTAACTACTAGGAGCTATACGAGTAGTACCTGCAGGGTAGAGTAAAAGACAATAAGGAGAGACTAGAACGAAAGAGTAAAAGACAATAATGAGAGACTAGGACGAAAGGATATGTGTAGCGAGAAAGAACAATAGGGAGAGATTACAATAAGAGCAGATCTTCGGAGTACCGAGCGGCGGAATGGAGGCCCGCGGCATGGACTTGACAGTATCCCCCTCTTAGGCTTGAGCCCTCGAAAGCCATTAATACCGGTAGTTGGTTAGTCACCAAGGAAAATTTTAAAGGCCGTCAGGATCGGGGATTTGGCCTATCAGTCAGCAGGAAAATTTTCGAAAGCCGTTGGTACCGGGAAATGGCGTTAGTCATCAGTGAAAATTTTCGGTTCACCGTACACCAAGTACAATTCGAAGGAAAATTTTCGCTGGTCCGTGCGCAGTTTTGCCGTATAAAAGGCCCAGAGTTTCGCCAATAAGACCCAAGTCACCAAAACTTCTAAGTCCAAAATGTCCGCTAGCCGCACTACTACAACCACTATTTCTGCTACTGCCGGCCCTTCGCGGTCGCGCCCCGTTCCACCGCCACCACCACCACCACCATCCGACTCCGCCGCTCAAGAGGAGGAGGACCTCGAGGACGAAGACGAGGACGAAATTATCAGGAGGGCGCATGCACGAGTGGAGCGGGTGAGAGCGAGGAAGGCGGCGGAGGCCGCTAGGAAGAAAGCTGAGGAGGAGGCTGCAAGGGCGGCAGCGGAGAGAAAGAGGAAGGCGCAGGAGGCGCGAGAGCAGGCCCGCCGGGCGCAGCAACAGCAGGAGGAGGTGACTGAGAGGAGGAGGCTGTTGGCCGCGGCGGCGACAGCTAGGAGTCAACGGGGTACCTCTCCCAGTGAGGTGTCGGCTTCACCGCGGCGTCCCGTGGTGGAGATTCGGAGGACGAAGAGTAAGGGTAAGGGCAAGGCAAGGGCAGAGGTATGTGTTCTTATCTTATCAATTTCGCTAGTACTAACCTGAAAATTCTTCAGCCGGTCGGCGGGGACCCCGATGATGGGGATGAGGGCGACGACGACGACGACGACAAGGAGCCCTGCGAACGATGCAGGGCTAAGAAGATCTCTTGCCAGATGCAGGCTGGCAAGAGAAGTTCAGTCATATGTAAACCCTGTCACGACGCGAAAGTCCGGTGCTCGTACTCCGGGCGGCCGTCGACTGTGAAGCGAGAAGGTGGTTCTAACCCGACCGGCGAGCGCCTGGCTGTCTTGGAGAGCCAGGTGGCTCAACTACTGGCGGACAACCGACAACTTCGGGATGGGCAGGTGAAAGCCAACACCTACCATCGACACATGAACCGGAAGTTGGATTGGCTGGTAACGGATGCCGCGAGGAGGAGGAGAACACCCCCGGAAATGCCGCAAGCCGGACCGTCGGAGTTGCCGAAGAAGCGGAGAAGGGTAATGGACAGCGATGAAGAAGAAGATCGCGAGAGAGAGAAAGAGGTGGAGGAAATGGGAATGGAGGAAGATGGGGAAGGAGATGAAGAAGAGATGGTAGAGGAGGAACCGGCGTCGGCTAAGGCGCAGTCGGAGAAGGGGAAGGAAAGGGCGGAGTAGAGTATCTACGGACATCGGACTTCGGCCCTTCGGCCCTCTTCTTGTAATCTTCTTGTAACCCTGCCCCCTTCGTATAGTTTTTGTTTCTTTTTGGTTTTTTGAACTTTGTATATATAAAAATGTCAACTCGATTTTTGAAATCGGAAAGCGAATGGGCCGCGAAGCGGCGGAAGAATTAATTAGTTCGAAGTGTAAGTAGTTGTAAATGTAAATGAAATATAAGTGAAAAGATACATTGAAGGAGAAAGTAAGCAATTAAGAGAAAGAGATAAACACTCAATTTGCTATCATCGTGTTTATCCTCTAAACGCACGAAGTAAACTTCGGCGGAGCGCGGCGAAAAAGGAAAATGGAATAAAATGATTTTGTGTGATCAAGGTCCAGGTTTGTGAGGGTATCGGGCGTGGAACACCGGTACAAGTTCGTCAGCATGTAATTCATCAGCAGCAACCCAGGAGAATTCATCGTCGGTACCTTCATAACCGGCCCACCGAATGTAATAACGTAGAGGACAACGTTTATACCTTCTGTCCAGCTTGGAGTCAAGGATTTCGGCAACGTTGTACTCCTCTTCCCCATCAACTTCAATTGGAGGTGGAGGAGATTGAGTACGATTCGGGAAAGGATTCGGCGTAACCGGCTCCAGCTGTGAGACGTGGAAAACCGGATGAATGCGGCGAAGATAGTCTGGGAGCTTGAGCTCGTAAGACAAAGTACCAGGTCGACTGATGACCTTGAAAGGACCAAGATATTTTTCTGAGAATTTTTCAGTAGGACGAGTAGAGCGAATGTGCTTAGCAAGAACGAATACTTCGGAGCCGATCGGGAACTCCGGGTGCGAGATTCTTTTCCTGTCAGCTTGTTCCTTGTAACGAGATTGGGCTAAAAGGATTTCTTCTCGAAGGAAAACGTGGAGTTCATCAAGGTTGACGACGAAGTCTCTAGCTAGGTCAGACTTCATATCGACCTCGGGCCGAACGGTGATGTTTGGGTGGTATCCTTTGTTAGCGAAGAATGGAGTAATACCAGTGGAAGCATTGGGAGCGTTGTTATAGGCGAACTCGGCGATCGGAAGTAGAGGCGACCAGTCATCTTGTTGGTAGGAACAATAGATCCTGATGTACTGTTCGAGAGTCTGATTGACACGCTCGGTTTGCCCATCGGCTTCCGGATGGTATCCAGAGGTATAGTGAAGTTCCATGGAGAGCGCTTTACCGAGAGCCCGGAAAAACGCCGAAACAAATTCAGAACCGCGATCAGAAGTGACATGATTAGGAACACCATGTTTAGAGAAGACATGAATAACAAAAAGCTCAGCTAGTTGTTCGGAAGTAATGGTGTCGTGAGTTGGAATAAATATAGCTTGTTTGGAAGATCGATCCACAACGACGAGAATAGCGGTAAAGCCATTCGACATTGGCAGTTGCTCAATGAAGTCCATGGAAATGGAATCCCATGGTCGGACCGGAACCGGTAAAGGTTTCAACAAGCCGTAAGGCCGGTGACGGCGGGGCTTATTGCGACCACAGATAGTGCAGGAAGTAACGTAGTCACGAACAAAGTCTCTGACCTTGGGCCAGGTGTATTGACGACGTACAGCTTCGAGAGTGCGGTTCTGGCCGAAATGGCCTGAGAGTGGATGATCATGGAAATAGCGAAGGACTTGAAGGCGAAGATCGCCGTGATTAGGGACATAAATACGGTCGTCAAGGCGTAGTAGCTTGTCACTACCTAAGCTCCAACGTTCATTGGAAGGATCTTTAGCAAGTTCCAAACCAGCAACGGAGCTCGGATCGGCGGGAAGGGCGAGGATGATTGCCTGGTGTAGGGCTTCGATATCCATGATAATCGAGGCTCGTAAAACCGGGCCTTCCAAGAAGGTAGCTCGAAGAGAAGCAGTGAGTTGTTCGTTAGTAAAGATAGGACGGAAGTTGTGAGGGTTCACTTGGGCGTAGCCGATATCCCCCTCTTTAGGGTAGACGTCCCAGCGTCTAGTTATCGAGTCGGGTTTCTCGCCGAGTTTCCCCGGCCGGAAGCGAATGACCATATTAAATTGATGTAAAAATTCTGACCATCGGACCTGTCGGCGGGTGAGAACCTTGGTAGTAGAGAAATACTCAAGATTTTTGTGATCGGTGACGACGTCCACCGGATCACCCGAACCTTCCAGATAATGACGCCAAGCTTTAAAGGCCTCGAAGATGGCCAGTAGCTCTTTGTCGTGGGTATCGTAGTTGAGTTCTGCCGCATGAAGCGTTCTGGAAAGGAAGGCTAGGGGATGAATTTCACCGTCAGCATATTGGATGGAAAGAATAGCCGCAATGGCGTAATCGGAAGCGTCGGTCTCCACGATAAGTGGGCGATTCGGCTCCCAATGGGCCAGTATTGGCGCAGAAGTGAAAGCGATTTTCAGATTTTCGAAGGCCTCTTGACAGCTGCTGTCCCAGATCCAGGACGCGCCTTTTCGGGTAAGCCGAGTCATCGGCACAACGATATCACTGTAATTATAAATAAAACGACGATAGAAGTTTGCAAAACCCAGGAAGGACTGAATGTCCTTAACCTTCCTCGGAACCGGCCACTCTAGAACGGTCTGAACTTTCTCCTTGGACATAGTCAATCCGTCGGGAGAAAGAATATAACCCAAATACTCAACAGTATCCATATTGAATTCGCACTTCTCGGGGTTGGCGTAAAGCCGATGTTTCCGTAACCGCCGAAGGACTTCCTTAACGTGTTCTCGGTGTTCTTCTGGCGTATCAGAGTAGATCAGAATATCGTCAAGATAGACGATGACACAGACATCGAGCATGTCAGAGAAGATGTCATTAACAAACCGCTGGAAAGCCGCAGGGGCGTTCGTAAGGCCGAACGGCATGACCTTCCATTCGTAAGAGCCGTAGCGGGTCCGAAAGGT